ACACACACACACACACACACACACACACACACACACACACACACACACACATAGAACAAAATGAACTGGCATCACGAATATGATGCACATTAACATAAAAATAGTGTTAAAATATACAGTAGTGTTAACAGTAACACTGTCCAGTGTTAACTATTCAATAATACTGGGTGTCTTATTAACATTTTAGCAGTGTTAAAATAAAGTGTTAAAAGTATCACCAGCATCTTATTATTATTGACAAAGGAAATTGTGGTGTCATAATGATTCACAGACACCACAAAGTGTCAATACACCATCAAATTGAGAGTGTGAGAGTGTAAATTTAACAGTCAGAGTTAATATCTCAGTTGTTAGTAGAATAGTTTAATGGAGTCACCCTTCTTCACACACCAGGAAGTACCTCTCACTCATGGTGACAATTTTTGGCCAATAACATAAACTTAAATTTGAACAACTTGATCAAACTGAACAAGAAAACAACAAGAACAACTCATTTTTACTCTCATGAACTTCTTTAAAGGTCATAAACATGCAAAAACATCATTTCTGCAAGATTTCTCAGCAAGGAATGCTGGGTAAATACTGGTCTGTCTGACATGAGGTGGAAGAGGATGGGGCTTTTCAGAATGCCTCTTTCAACACTGCATGGTGTCATATAACAACACTGTTAAATGTTACATAAGACTTAACTGTGGGTGGAGCTTCTTTAACACTGTCCAGTGTTGAAACAACACTGAGGTAACCAACACTGTGAATTAACACCAACACTGGGTGTGAGTGTACTCAGAAAGAGTTAAAATAACACTAGGTGGTGTTAAATCAACACCCAAAAGTTTAACACTGAAATTTTAACACTTGTTTTTGCTGTAAGCACCAGTATGAAACAGAGTGAACTATAAGAACTTTTATAAGAATCTATAATAATTCTGTCATGTTCGAAACTACTTACTGTGCAGCTCCCAGGATGTTGTGGCAGAACATCCAGTAGTTTCTCAGCAGCTTGTTGATGTTGTGATGAGTTCAGAGCTTGTTAAGTCTTAAACTGGTGACAAAAAAACAAACAGATTGAATAATTCCAGATGTGGTGCTCCTCTTCAGCCTTCTGATTGTAAGCAGCCAACTGCTGGTGTCGACCCAATAACATGGGAGTGAGGTGGGGAAACAAACAACCCTTTCTCTTAAAGGGCAATGGACAACATTTAAAACAAAATCAAGTTTAGAGAACACGACAGGCAAATGGATGTAAATCAAGCAAAAAGGAAAAAGGAGAAAAAGCAGACCGTGTGCAGCTGTGTGGTCAGAGCTTCAGCTCGGAGTTGAGCACACATCTGGACACGGATGAGTAGTCTGAACTGGGAATAGATAATCTCCTCCTCCTGCTGTAGTCCTGTTACAAGCTGTCATTTGTTTGGACAGTTTGACATGTTTCATGTGGTGATTTTTTTCTTCTTTTTTTTAACCAGTGACTAAAAGGTGCAATAAATGTGTCAAAAAATAATCCAAAAGCCTGATTTACAACTGTTGGATAGGTGTTTGACTTATAAGTATTATTTTAATGAGAAAATGCATTAATGTCACTTTACTTTCATAAACATACTAACAAATCTCATAGGACATTTTTGGATTAACTGGTTTGCAACCAAACTTCTACTCATCCATCTTGTATGAAACGGTTAAACTTACAGTTAGTTTTATTCACTTCAGTTTTTTTTAATTATTAAATTTTTTCCCTAAAAAAACAAGCATTCTAGTTTAAACAGTTACTTCAGCAGCAACAAGTGAATTAAAATATAAACACTCCTGAATCCAAGCTGTGAATTTGTTCACATTTTTCAAAATTTTGTTTCAATTTTCTTTCATTCTTTTCAAAACATTAAGGGGAGGAAGTAGAATGGTGTGTGTGTGTGTGTGTGTGTGTGTGTGTGTGTGTGTGTGTGTGTGTGTGTGTGT